GTATATATCATTTGTTCTTGACTTTGTTGACACTGCTGCATAAATATACAGGCTTGACTCATTAACATCATGCTATGCTTGTATTTATCTTCAATTTTTTCCATCTCTTGTTCGTGTCTGATTTTCACATCATTCAAATCGTCAGATAGCTTTTTAATATTATCATTAAAGTTTTGAATAAGTGTAGAATTAGTTTTATCAGACGTTGTTATGGTTGGTCTCAGAAGAGGAAAATCACTTTGGTTGAACCAAAGATTAGGTGTTTCAGTTTGTTGATGATAAATCTGTTGTTCATATGATTTACGATTATAAATAATATTTGAACGATCGTTTTTATTTCGATAAGATGAAGGAATAAAGAGTTGCACGTCAGGTGGAAGACGTTCAGGATTTCTTTTTAACTCCTCAATTAAACGCCCTCGAAATTCTGTAATCACTGGACATTTATAATCGGTGGAGATATGATTACCTTGACAATGGTGACATTTGATTGTGCAGTCTTTATGTGCGAAAATATCTAATATTTTTATTCCATCAACTTCTTTTGGCCATATGTCTTTTTTGCATAGGTAAACATAAATTTCAGTCGTTTGTATAACAATATGAAGATGACCATCAGTATCAATCCACCATAAATCAAATAAAATTGGTTGTCTAAAATTTGGATTTTGTAACAAAAAGTCACTTTTAATAGCCTTTATTATATCATTTACAACTTTCACCACTTGTTTTGTGTCTTTTAACTTCGGTTGACATGCAATCTTAAATGGTGAATAGTGATAAACCGAAGCATAATCAAGTGCATGGCGTGAAATTCTTGAATTAACATTTGTTCATTAGTTTTTATCATTATATTATCATTACGAGTAGTAGAAGGATAATTCATTTGAATGGAATGAGTTGTAGTCTGAGGTTGTTGCACGCTAAAACCATAGTCATAATGTGAATTTGTATTTTGATTGGAATTAATAAAAATCCTAGAATTTTGTTGTCTATCATAATAACTGTCATCTTGATAGCCATCGTTTGTCGCATGTCTTTTTAGAGATTTAGTTTGTTGTAGTTGATTTGTCTGTGTATTCACTGGTATAGAAATTACTCTACCGTCCACCATACGATCCTTTTCTTGAGCTGTCATGTTGT